GTCGACAAACTTGAAGGAACCGTAACGGGTCTCCCTCGGGTGCGATTTATATCTAAAAGGGAGCGAAAGAGGATCTCATCATCTTAAAGGACTTTCCTCGTACGACGATCGGTTTTTTCTGTTGGTCTTCGGAAATTCGAAGTCAAGTCGAGCGCCGTCGTTGTCGCGACAGTTTCACCCACGACTTGCCTCTTTACGATCCCCGTCGGTGGTAAAAACGTTATAGCATCCCCGATTGTTCGCCATTAGTGCCGTCTGAGATGTCAAAACAACATCACATTCCACTATCGGCCTTATATCACACGAAATTGGGGTGCAAACCTTTCACGAAGAAATAAAATAATGGAAGGAGCGAGACTGACAGAAATATTAAAATAATATAGACATTGTAGACGATAAAAAGTACATTATTAAGTTACGTTAATAAAGGTAAATATTTATCCTTACGAACCCACCCTCGATATGACTTTCTCCTTCACGTATATTATAGAGGTTATTCTCCTGAATAACCTTCAGAAAGTTTTAATCGTCGCTAAGGGTAAATACTTACCAATATTATTTCTCATAAGATGTTACATAGTTATGTATAGCTATATAATAATAAAAATAATAGGTAATAGATAATAACGATAGATTTCATTTCTAAGAAGGTACGATATAAGGGACTGTGTCTCTCTGTCTGGAATTTTCGACTGAAAGTTCGATGATTTCTTAATTCTATATCGCTCTTCTTCCCCTCTTCCCGAAAATGCTAGGCTTCTCTGTCAATTGAAATTTGACGTGCAGACGATTTCTATCGACAACCTGGCATTTCAGTTCAAAGGCAGTTTCACGAAGGCCAAGCAATTCAAATTGACGATCTCCCGAATTCTGCCTGCTGGTATCCTTTATCGAAAATTCGATCAAACTGTCTTGAATATGTGATTACAGTGGCTTCTACCATCGATATCCAATAATGCTTCGATAGCTGTCTCGTTAGCTTTCGCGTGGCCGCTTTTTGATAAAGTCGTCATCGAGATGAAAGTTCGCGGAAAATATCCGTATATTTTTGGATTTCGCGAATATTTCTGGCCTTAAAGTTAACCATAAATACGACAAATCATGAGAAAGGCGAGAGAGAGAGAGAGAGAGAGGGGGGGGGGAAGGAGCAAATATTTGAGTATGTTATTGCACTTTTATCAAGTTTGTCTTATTGTTAGATAAACACGAACGTTCATGTATCAAGCCCGAGGCAAGTACATAATTAGTATATTGCGGGAAAAACAGACGGGGGCAGGGAAGTTTCGCGCAAGTTGATCCACGACGTAAGAGAGGTCTTGCCCTCTTCTCAGGGGAAGAACGGATCGGGAAATTTTGGGCGCGAAGTTGTTGGGTAACTTGTAAGTCCGGCTTAGTTTCTCGAAGTTGCCTCCGACGAAGACTTGGTGCCTTTGCCATTCCCAGTATAAATTAGATTCGGAAGAGTGATAATAAGATAAATAATAATAAAAACGAAAATTTGGTTACTAGTTATTAGTCTCATGGGTGGTAAGTATACCGGTTAAGCGAAAGTTTCTTTGCTCTAACGGAAATTTGACTGGTGTAAAGTTTGAAATTTAATTCAGCCGAGATAGTCTATATATCTATAAAATATTATTACATTTTTTATATATTAATGGCGTTTCGCAATATACAATTGATGGTTTTTAGGTCAAATATTAAAAATTAAGATTAGGAGCTTTCGCACGTCATTAGGTTCGATGAAAAAAGCGGAGTCTTTCCCAAGTTCCGATCGCGGCTGTCGGAGCCTTGATAAATCGCGACGCAATGTCGCTGCTTATCAGCGACGTTGCCCTTAATGGCGCTGTCGTCCTTCGAGATATCAGCATTAGCGACTGGAACTCAGACGTTTATTGCGCAACTTTCGAGGCTATTGCGAGGTGAATATATCGAGTTATATTTCAATTGCATTATAAATTTTCACACGTGATGAGATTAAAAACACTTGTTAAATAATATCTTTTTGCACGAAAAATAAATTGGGATACCTATTTATTAAAATAGGTAACTGCATTTCGCATCAGTTTTTATGTTCCTTTATTTACGAATTATTTACGCATTATTAAAAGCAGATGTAAATGATTAAAATTGTTTTCCGCATACATATTATATGTCATGTAAAACAGGTGACTTAAAATGAATACTACAGGATAAACCTCTTAATTATCTCTCAAGTTTGTGTTGATGATACAATTAGCCTTGAGATATAATTTCTTCTCAAATTTGGACTCAAAGTTATGACTGAGATAGATGAGATGGGCGGATAATAATGAAGTTTGTCGAATAATTATATACGAAGAAGCCGCCGTGAGATAATCAAATTTGACGTTAAATGGCTCTCGTTAAAGGGTGAGAAATAAAGGACGGTTTTAAGGAAAATCTCCGGAGAGTCGGTCCGGAGGTGGGTTTCGACTGTCCCTGTAGAAATTCTACGCGCGATCTCTCGTTCCGCGCGTCCACCTTCGTGAATAATTCATAAAACGATAAAACTTTCAATGCCGAGTACCTACTGGCAAAAAAGCGTCGACAGACGCAAAAGTCGAGGGATCATTATCGTTTTTCATTGCCGCTTCAGTCAAGGCCGCCTTGGGAAATATTTGCAATATACTCTCGTATTAATGGTGTAAAACGCGATTGGAAAGCTCGCTTGCGTTCATATTTTATTAAACTCGCCGATTATATGTAATTACAATTGCATTCTAATTACATACATAAAGCGTAGTATATAATATCAGAATAATCCGTATATTAACTAAACTAATAATTATTAATCGTACAATAGTCATTGAAGCTTTGTCTTCAATTCGTTTTGCAACGAGGATATTAAAAGCATGGATTTTATTCATTTTAATTAATATTGCATTAATATTGCATAATTGATATTACTCAGATATTATGTATATATTTGTTTAATATATTACATTATTTTTGGCGCGAGATATTTCCTTTGAATCGATGCAACATAATTTTAATAAAGAAAGAACGGATCGCGCGAGAGTACCTATACGTACGGCTTAGTAGTCTCTCATTGGTGACGTATCAAGTACATGCATGTGTGATGTACGTACACAATGTGGATTTATGCCTCTCGCTTCCAGCTGGCGACCTAGAAAAGGGGATGCCGATATTCCCCTCTGCATAAACCGAATATCGATGCCACGCAAACGGCGAATAAATCAAACAAATTCGCGAAGTCTATGCATGCATTTCTCGTCATACTAATATGAATTTATGCGCTGTGTTTGCGAGACACACGTTCTATAAAGAAAAAAGAATAGATGGTGACATTTTATTGTAAGAAAATATATATAATTAATATAAAAGAATATTCTTTTATATTTTATTATATTTCATAAAGTTGTTGTGTTTGATGGAGTCTTAAAATTTTCTTCTTTGACAATTACATACTGAGCTAAGTACTTGCAATAAAATTGACTAGTAATTCTAATATCACTATTTATCATGAAAAATTGTCGTACCGCTTAAAAATATATATCCCTTAAAAAGCTTCCGAATTATTGAACTGTTCTTTTTCCTTTCTTTCTTCTCTATATAGCTTTTTTTTTCTTAGATATTAAATCGCTACGTTTCAGGTCATTCTTTAGAGACTGCGTTTTACCGACAATTTTTACGGTAATTTTTCAAGGGTGATACCTCAAGCTCGATCTTTGCTACGGATATAAGTCCGTTATTCTTGCCTTTGCCCCATCGCCTTATTATTAATCACATTTTTTTGCGGTAGCCGTTCTTTGACCGGAATACTTCGCTTTCGTTCATCTTTGAGATGAAAGAGAGATAGTTCTCGTTTGTAACTTTTCTCTATCGCGATCGTGCCTTTGTTTCCGTCAGCGGGCGGATTCCTTCTCGCTAGAAACCGTTCGGCAACGATTTATGAATTATTCACGGAACGGACGAATTATTCACGAGGATGATTGCACGAACGGTTCGCGACACTTAATTGTAGGCAACCGAAAAGCGGGGCAAATCCATAATTTAAGAGTACCTCCGATCCTCGTCGCGGCTCGCTTACACTCTGATTGTAATAAATATAGAGCGACACGTTTTAATTTCCTTATTAATTAAAATTTCTCTCTCTTAATATGACGGGAAAGATATGAAAATATAAATCTGTCGTATAATAATGATGACGATGCTTTTGTGTCGTTTTTAGATAAGATTTTCCATTTTTCGATATTTTACTTGTACATTGTTAATATATTATTATTGTAATAATCATTAATATTATCGTTATAACTTTTAAAAATCTATTGAAGTTTAATAACGCTATAATTTCTTCATTAAGAAACTAATCAAAGATTTGAGTAGAGTCAAAAAAGTATGTCGTTTTAAAACTAAGAGAAGATTCACATTTTTTACTTTTTGTAATTTTACCAAAATTATCGTCTTTTAAATTTAAACTGCACTGCTTTTCGGTTGATACACGAGGGCGAATGCAACTGGTACCTCTTCGCTTGCAAGACACGTCATTGCCGATTACCAAACTTATTTCTTTGCGCGAACTTTCGTATACGATTGTTGAACGTTCAACTTTCGCGATATCGAGATATCTCTCCCACGTGCTATTGTGCGGACGTAATATATTATCACATTCTCTCTGTCTATTCTTTGTATTACGTTATCATTCTAACAAGAATAATGTAACGTGCTCGTGGGCAAGCATTCGAATATTTACGATCCTTTATTCGATTTCACAAAAATTCGATATTTTCTGCTGTAAATACTTTTCTTTAACGATCTTTTCGCTAATCGTTTTTCGAAAATGGTAAATTATTTCTTAATTAAAATTCAAGTTGATATATTTAGGAAAGAGTTAATATTTAATGACAAGCTTTGTGGGAACATTATTTTTCTTTTATTGTCTGAATAAAGCTTTACCTTATACTTATCAATAAGTCAGTGAATAAGTCATCTTTTACTAATTGGCTGTATTTGTGTTTTAGTCTCTTCTCCGACTTGAGAAGCCTGGCAGGCACGACCCTGATGAATCTTTTGGCAGCCCTTTTCATGGTTCAGCTATTGTTCATCGTAGGAGCTGGAGGAGTACAGGTATTTTTTACGTTTTTCTATTTTTATCTTATAAAACAATTACCTCGTCTATTATATAAAATCTGAAGAATCTTAGGTTTATATATATGAAAAACTTATAAATACCGTGGCTACTGCACCTTATGCAAAATACAACTATAAAATATAATAATGCACGTTCTTTGCATACATTACGAATATTGGATGATTATTAAAAAGTTATTTGAAAATATCATATCTAACAAGAAAATTCGCTTGACATGTATGTCATACCTGACAGATTTGAACTGTAATGGTTACCCAGATATAACTAGAAAAAAAGTTAGAACTACGTTGATACAACATTTTTCATTAAAAATTACCTCTCGTGTCTGTTAGTGAAATATTTGTGTTTCCTCCGCGAATCCTTCTCTGTACAAACATAATGCGAAAATCGACTCAGATCCGTCGAGGTGTGAATTCCGGTGGCTGCTTTCGGTTCTTCCGCTTTCACAGAGATAAAGAGAGATAGAGAGAAAGAGAAATTCCGTTTCGTGCTCAGCACATCGGCGAGAGTTGCGAGAAAAGCTTTCGTCGGGACTTCCACCGTCTAATGTTCTGCACTTGAATCCCCTTTAATTAAGCTTCAGAATCCGCAAGCTCGTCGCGAAACGCGACAGATTCCTGAATCCTTCTTTTTTCGCTCTTTTGTCAGTTTTGTCCGTTCTTTCGTTTCGCCCGGAAACATCCAAGGAGCAATGTCAGGCGTTCTCGTACACGAGGATGCCTAACATTGTCACTCGAATTCTCCCGGCGAAATGCGATGCCGGTTACCGACAAACCGGGAGAAAGCATTCCGGACTCTCTCTCGAGCGACTATATCGCGGACGGGAGGAGAGAAAAGTTGTAGGAAGACGTTGGGAAGCGTCGATTAGAAACTCAAAGCGGAAATTAGTGGCATTCCTATTTCCAAGTTTTAATTGCGTGTCGGTGACGTCGCCGCGTCGGGCTTTTCGCCACTGACGACAGGATTCGTGCCAAAAATTTTTCTCATCTATTTTTATTGCGGATTTTAATATCGCGCATGATATCGTTAATTTTGTCATACTACCCGGCGGTCGTTGAATTAGCTATAAATTGCTTTAATGACTCTGATGAGATTAAAAAGGGCATTATTGATCATCCTATTTTTACGCTGTTTAATCATCCGTATTATTGAGGTATACTATAAATTTTGTAATTATTTTCAATTCGAAATAATGGAAAATATACATCAAATATACATTAACTTTGTTGAGTAAATTACTGGAAATTTGATCATTACGATTTCATTATCGTTTTTACTAACGTAATGAAGCAAGTTTCGTTTTTCATGTGAAATGTTAGAGCGTAATATATACAGAAAATTTATACAATGTTACCATTAAATCTTAAAAAACTATTAGGTCTTTTATAAACTACAATTTAAATTGCTCGAAAATGTGATAAAAACATAATTGCAATTTAGTAATTTATAATATTTCTTAGAATAATAACATAATAGTTTTTCTTTAAAAGAACGCGCTTACAAGCAAATATCTTTTGCGAATTTTATTGAGCACGTTGCGATGTTTAATTACTAGCCACGTATAATAATAACGCATAAAAAATAAAAAGACGCAAAATGCCACGTGCCAGTCGTCAGTCGTAAAAACATCGTGAATATTATTCACTGGGCAAAAGTAAATTTCATTGCATTCTTTCCGCGGAAATGAAAAACGTATATATGCCATGCCTGCTTTGAAAAGAACGAACAAGGAGAATTTCTCTTAGATTTAACAACGAAGAAACAAGCGCGCTCTTGTTTCTTCACCTTTAGATAAAGAAAAGATTCACTGCACCTGCAACGGATATATTTTTCTTTACAAAAATAGAGACAGAACATATATTATATGTATATAAAAATACACATATATACATGCATATATAATAATATGCGTGCCGAAAAAATCCGCATGGAAACGAGATTCTTTTTAGGTCAAATGTTATTCATCGCAGTTGCAAATCGTGGCCTTTGATCTTTGAGGATCCTCTAATGGGATACATTTCGTTTTAAAAATATAGGCGAAACACGAGATCTTTTCATATGCGAGTGACATATGAAAAGATCTCGTGTTTTGCCTATATTTTTAAAACGAAATGTATCCCATGTAATATATAATTCAAGTTCATATTTTCGGCTTCATATTCATTAATTCTGTGAAGCTATCGTAACAGAATATTTTCATCTTTTTTTTGCTTGATATTTACCAAAGTAGAGAAAATTTCTGAATATAAAATTTCATATATGATACGGGCAAAATTAATTTATATACTTTTTTCTTTCAATCTAAATAATTAATTTATAAATATATATGACACATTTAATTTAAAACGTCATAAGTCTAGCAAGTATTTTGTGCAAATTTCACAGAAGAATTTATCCGTTTTTTGTATAATGAAATCTGTATCCATTTTTTTATTTCATTCAATTTTATTTAATTAATATCATCCACACACACGAGAAATAGCCGTATAATAAAATTTGTGAAACGTATTTCTTTTATCGAATTTCCTAACCATCGAAAAAATAGAACTAATTGGCCCTTAAATTTTATTCTATCAATAAATAACGGATAGAGGACGAATAAAAAGAAAGTAAATCGGAAATATATCGGCGATTTTACGCATGAACGAAAAGAAGAGAAGGTCATTTAAGTCGAGTTAGTGTTTTTTCTACGAGGTGCTAAATTTTATGACCGCGAACTGGACGAAGCTCGACGCCAAGAAAGACTCTACACGCGAGCAATATATCTCGTCGTACTCGTACATGCAGCAGGCGTGAAAAAAAAAGATTCGTCTCAACGGAGGTGTACGAGCGAACGCGTTAGATGTTACGAGGTCAGAGTGCCGTCCCTTCGAGACAAGCCGCCCTTCCGTGTAACTCCCTAATTGCGGTCTTGTCTTGTGTCAGTATGTAAAGACGAATTTGCATTGAATGTATATGTATGTATGAGCGAGTTTCTAACATAATATTAAACTTGATGCAAATATAAAATCATATTGCAAGGAAAAATTGATGTGACATTAAAATAATGTTACAGTACAGGGTTATATAATAGAAATCGATTAGATATTATTATGCATACAATACATCTCGCAATTATACATCGTGCAATTTTAACAGCACACAGTATTCTGACAATTAATAACTCGTTATATTTTAGAGATTATAATTATAATCGAAAATCTGATAGCTCTCGAAGCATTTACGAATCATAAGTTGGATATAAAAGCTGTCCAATGATCGTGCACAATACAAGTAACTGCGCTTACACGCATACCGATCTATCATCTGTTATTGATTTTCTCAGTTCAGATAATATTGGATTTTCCTGCTCAGCTATTTTGCGTTTACATGCTTGCTACATGCAGGTTGATACACATCATACTATACTGACTACAGCAATCAGCTGCTTTTGACAGATTGATCATCAGTAGCAAAGTTTAGATGACACGTGCAAATTATATAATCTGTTTTTTTAATGGATATATAAATGATAACGTACACTGCACGCTATTGTATACGCAAGATTACCGGGCGGCAATTTGTGTGGCAAGCCGCCCATTATTATCTCTTTGCACGAGATACGAGCATTTTCTGTGAATAATTATTTAGCGGGTAACGTTTATCAATATGCGCAACCGATTAACTCGCACAATTAATTCGCTAACGTAAACGTGTCGAAGCGACGGCAATTTTTCGAAGCCACATCGCGCGTTTTATTCGTTAGATGTAATAGCAGTCAAAGCGATAGGGAATGGAAAATTTTAATCACCATTCCGTTGCGACATTTACGAGCGATAATTATTTCCTCAATCGATGCCTAGACTCGAATATATTTCGCGCTTTGAACTTTTCGCCGATGTAAACGTAATTTGTCCACAATTTTCGATGCTGACGCGTGCTGAATACGTGTAGTTCGCTGGTCGAGCGATTCGAGTAACAAAAAGACGTGATAAGCTTGACCGATTTATTAATAATTAATTTAAAATGCAAAGAACAGAATGTTCAGTGTGAATTTATTTTACGAAACGTTTAATGTCGGAATAGCAAATCGATTGGCACGCAACCTTGGTTTGTCTCTTGCATGTTAAAACTTGCTAATGATGACCAACTTAACAATATCAGCTGGTTGTTATTGATTACTCTATTATTTGTAACACACGCTTAAACTTTAACCTAACCTTGACATTTTGGCTTCAAATTTTACTAATTTTTGGTACTAATTAATCTATAGAACACGTTGTTAAAGTACACTGCTTGTACGATATCTTGCATAATTATAATTAAATATAAGAAATGAAACTATATAAGATTATTTTGGCTGCATTCCGATATTTACTGTTAGCAACTGTCAGCACTGAAAATCTATGGTATACGCGACGTAAAATATAGAAAAATATAGATTTTTAGTATTGACAGTGAATATCGGAATACAGCCATAAAGAAGGAGAGTCATTTTTATAGATTTAAATATTATAGATTTAACAATGAAATATATACTATTTTGACTAGCAGCTCAATGTACGACTGGTGATATATCAGCATTTCAAAAAGTCGACAAGTTTGTGAAATAGCTTGACATTATTTTTTATCTGACAAGAGATATCCGACATCCGACAATAGAATATCAATAACGATATTTTCCGTCGACAAGACAGATGCAATGAGCAGGGGAGGAGTTTATTAGAGACGGCAAAATCCCACTTCGTCATACCGCTTGACGGAGATAAATCTCCGTCGGTTGTGTAATTTCACGGCCGTCACGAAGCAATTCGGCTTTATTGTTACCCGCCTCGGGAATTCGTGAGAAGAGGGGCACAAAATAAATTAATTTAACCCGCGAGACCTCTCGCGCATTTTCTTGGTTCCGATTTCGAGTAGTTTTGACATGCGGTGCTCGTTTCTGCGAAAATCGAAGAGAGTAAAAAAGAATGGGGGCAATAAAGAAAAAAGAAAA